GTGCAATAGGCCAAGGTTGAGAGCAGCCTGAAGTTGTTCATTACAATTGTTTTAACATTGTTAAAGCTGGCAAAATATTCTATCTTACTGTATTGGAATTGGGAGATATTTTGAAGAAAATAATGTATACACTGTAATAATTTGAATTGTACTATAATTGATTCCCTGACTGTTATAGATTTAAAACGTATTGTCAAAACTTTAGACTTTGTGATATCTCTTATATTCTCTATGAAAAGTATTGATAATTATTTACATTTTTGTAGAAAAAACCTAAAATATTCATCTTCCAAATTTACCCATTACTTGGGATAAATAGGAATGCAGGAAGGTTAAATAAGGAAATTTGTCAGGATTGTCAACTTTTGAATAATGTTCAACTCGTACCTACTTTAAGTACTCATATCATATAAATTGGTACCACGTAATCTGTTGGAGCAAGGTCCGGGGAGTACAGTGGATGTCTTAGACATTACAATTGAAGCTCTTCTAATTTGGTAGCCATGTGTTGTGCAGTGTGTAGTTGAGCATTGTTTTGAAGAAGTAGTGGCGTAGAGCGATTGACCAGCTTCGGTTGTTTAACAGTTTTTCCCATTTTTATTTTCTAAATAGAGTAGTGCCACAGTTTCTATTCAATCTTCGAAAGTGTTGCTATCAAACCAACCTTATGCCATTCTATTGTATCGACACTTTTTGGATCCAAGAGTCGTGAAAATGAGTGGATTTATATGATGTAACTTAGCAAAAGTGTGCCAGCTGCCGCTGCAGTAATCATAATTTTTTTTTTCTGGGTCGTCCGACAGGTGTGTTTCATCGTAATTTATTATAATATTACCAAAAATTCCGCCAGAAACCTCTGGTCTACTTTCTTTTTTTTATTATTCTTAAATCGTATGTGTCAAGGGGATTAGCCCCACTCCGAGCATATGTTTAAATAATTCATTAAATATTGTTCGGTTTCATCTTTCTTATGTTATATAATAACTTATGCTATACTTATTTTTCTGCGATTTTTTAAAAAGATTTTCTACTAGGCTCTTATATCCGCCTCATTTCTGTAAATTAAAATTGCATCTTACATATTTTATATAATATTATAACGTAGGTATTATCATACTAACTTTAAAAAAAAAAAAACTATGGGTAATATTTACACACCCGCTCGCCACGACGTCTCGGGAAGTGCCGGCGAGCGTGCGGGGAGCAGTTGCTTATTCATACTTCTTAACTGTAAGTTCTTACAACCATAAGTATAATCAGATAGTGTGTACATAAATGCAATTAATAATGATAACCTAATCTTCATCTGTTTCCATTTCCGAATTTGTGATATTTTCAACAATTTCCTTATCTGAATTTTTATTATAATTATTTACTTTTTCTTTATGAATTTTCCAATGGGCTTCAACTCTTTTTAGATGTCCTATATTTCTTCGTAGTTCCCGTCCAGTCTCATCGTTCCTTACATTGATGTCTCCACCTTTAGCATTAATTACAGTATGTGGCTCAGGATTTAAATTTTGGTGTCAATTTGTTTTCTTTAATCATATTCTTAATGTAAACTTTTTCTCCTAATGTGATTACTCTTCACTTTTCGTTTGCGATCTTCAGTTCTCTTCCCCTTTTCTTCCATCATTATGGCTTTGTCGCATACCTCTCCTATCCTATCTGCTCTATTCTCGATCGATATCTACGACAGAAACGATCATATCTCAAAATTTTCGGTTGTGAAATAATTCTCAAGGCGTTTTCTCCGTCGTGCTATGTTGTGTACTTTTGTACATCATTAGATAGGTACACAAATAGTCTTTCCAGTCAAATTTTTGGCATTGACTTATCTGCAACCGTTATATAATGTCCCGATTTTGCCTTTCGACATCGCCGTTTTGCTGCGAACAGTAAGGTATAGAATTGTATTGTTTAATGCCAAACTCTGAGCAGAAAGATTGGATAGAAAGGCTAGTGAATTGCCGACCATTATCAGATATTAGACTAATTGGAAGACTTAGCCTTGTAAAAATAGTCTTTAAATTTTTATTGTATCTTCAGACGTAATAGACCTCATAACTTCAACTTCTTTGTAACGGCTGTTATAATTTATGTCTATAAATAAATACTGTCCACTTGGGAGAGGACCTAAAAAATCGACTGCGATGTCTACCCATGTTTGGGATGGTAATTCACGTCTCTTCATCGGCATAGGAGGGTTAGGACCAGAGACTAAGGTGCATCTTTTGCAGCTTTTTACCATATTCTCTGCATTTTTATCTATTCTTGGCCACCACACCTTTGTCCGCAATCTACCCTTCATGGCGACAATGCCTGGATGACCCTCATGATCCGATGCCAGTACTTGCTTAAGGAGCTCGACGGAAATAACGATTTCATTTCCACACAATAAAACCTTATCATGAACCCAGAGTTCGTGCTCAAAAAGTTTAAAAGGAATAATCTTTGAGTCCTAAATTTTATTTGAAAGACCGATCTTCACCAATTGAATTTCATGATTTTTTGGGATTCATCAATATTGCTTTCCATCGACAGAGCCATAGGTCTGGCTAATTGCACGATTTGATTTACGAGATGATCATTATCATAAGGACTACAATTTTAGATAGGACACAATCTAGAAAGAGGTTCCGCTATGTTGTTCTTTCCAGGACAATATACCACCTGGTAGTAGGACTGCAAGCATAACACCCAGCGTTCTATTAGCGCGCAAGGCTAAGATGGTGGTCCGAATATCTTCTCCAGAGGCTTATAGTCAGTGACTAACTCGAACTCTTTTAATCCATAAAGATATATGCTAAAATATTCTATGGCCCAGACTAAAGCCAAAGCCTCCTTTTCTGTTTGACAATATCGTTTTTCAATGTCAGATAAACTTTTGTCCCCATAAGCAATAACTCGACGTCCGTATGTGTTATACTGAATAAACATTGCTCCTAGCCCTACAGGACTGCGTTCTGTCGTGGGGATCGTAAAAACCTAAAAGTTCGATGATTGGTCAAATTTTGTTTTAATTTAGCAATTGCTTGTGCTTGTTTTTCTTTCCAAAACGGAGCAATAACAGCGTATTTTGAAGGCTTGTGTTTTAAAATTTCGCGAATTGGTTTAGTGAGTGTTGCTAAATCGGGAATCCATTTTCCGATATAATTTATGAGTCCCAGAAAACTGGACTTCTACTGATTTAGGTTGCTATGAAACAATAATAAATAAACTAAAAGATGGTAAATGAAATTAAATAATTTATTTACAATAAATAAATAAAAAAATAAATAAAAAGGGACGAGGTGACTGGTGAGATGAGTAGTGAGAGTGTCAGTGTAGGTGATCTGCTGAAGGGGCGTGGGTCAGCGGTGAAGTTCCGTTGCGTCAGCGTAGATCCGTCGTCAGCGTAGGTGTTATGGTGATGGGTCGTGGGTCAACGGCGAAGTTCCGGAGCGCCTTCTCAACGATGCGTCTCTCAATGTGTCGAGCAGATGGTTCTTTCGTAGCCCAGAACGAATCAGCAGGCAGCAAGGCTTCAGGAGAAAGTATTTCCATCCAAGCTTGAAGGTGGTGAAGGAGGTTTAGTAGAATAATGTTAGTGTTTATTTATTGATGTTTAATTACAACCAAAATGGTGTCACGTGACTTTGAGACCGTAACTTTGAAGAGTTCCCGGGGCAGTCGGCCCCGGGAACTTAAGGCTTTTTAAGAATTTAGCTGTACGAGCTCCAAAAAGCTAACTTGGGCAACTGTTGCCGTTGAAGTGATGCAGAACTATTTGAGCGAGGCTTTATATACTTGAATGCGAACTCAAATTTGGAAGTAAAAATTCAAAAACTACGGCTAATGCCCAAAACTGATAAACAATGAGTCAATTTTCATGAAGAGTATCAAATATAACCATAGCAACGAAGAAGAACTTTCATGTCAAATCTGTCAAAACAATTAAAATTAGTGATAAATTGTGTAATATTATATAAATAAGTGCTTTAATATGATTAGAATTCTATGAAAGCTACCGGCAAGGGTTTACATTAGTGTAAGTAGTAAAAAACATAGGATGAAAGTTCGTAGAAGTTTGGATAAGTTTATATTATAGAATTTTAATGGTTACAGGTATAAAATTGAAGGTCCACAGATATGGAATGGAAAAAGTAAAGAATATAAATGGAAAACACTAAAAAGTTTATCGATATGAGTAAAATTAGTGATATGAATCTAAGGAATGAAAACGATACGAAAGATTAGTTACGACAAGGTTCTCTAAAAGATGCGATCGTTTTTCTGAACGCTTTTGACTATAAAAATAAAGTAAAATTTTTTGAGTACTTGGTTGTTTGTTGAACTGTTCGTTTAGTGTCATTTTCTTAGCAGTTAGTGGGTTGCTCACGATAGGCATTGCCTTATACTTATATATAATACTTGAAAAATTAACGATGATAAAATTTTGCGAGCTATCGTCCCTTTTTCAGACTTGTGCCTACAAAACTCAATGGCTCGACGAGTACCCCGCTTTGCTTTCCAGACGCACTAGACTTTCGGCTTGAGACGCTCGTCGAGCATGCGACGGGCTCGGTTTGTCGACTCTTATAATTTTTTACACCCATTACAACCATTTGGCTATTGTATTAAAGGATTATGACGTTTCCGAGATATAGGGTTTGTGGTTCCAACGAATATAGCGAATTTCAGGGTTCTTTGAGATTATGAGTGTAACCAGACATGCTGGGGATAAAATTGAAAAAAAAATCCACACCAAACAGTAACGGTTTTTGAACCTCGCGTGGGTTGATGTCGTCCCATATACGGCAATTTTGCTTGTTAACACACCCATTCATCCAAAAATGTGCCTCGTCACTAAATATGATTTTTGGGCCAAAATTGGGGTCCTCTTCCAAACGATTCGAAGCCCAGCCAGCGAACAAACGGCGTTGTCTATAGTCATGAACTTTGAGCTCCTGGGTCAGTTGGATCTTGTACGGGTGTAGGCCCAAGTCCTGACGCAAAATTCACCAAGTTGAAGTCTGCGAAAGGCTAAGTTCTTGTGCACGAGGAATCGACTGCCTCGGGTTCTGCAGTACACTTTCACGGACCGCCGCGATGTTATCGACCGATCTTGTATTCCTCGAACGTACGGGTGTTAGCTGATTGAATCCTGAACCAGTCGTCTTCAATTTGCCCACCAAACGTTGAAAAGTCGACCGTGAAGGGCCACCACGTCTACCGTAAAATGCGCGCAATGTAGGCAACGTTTGCTTTAACGAACACTCATTTTGATAATATAGTTTTATCATTTGAACGTGCTGTTCAATCGTATAACTCGCCATAATGATTTGGCGTAAGCAACTGAATAATAAACAAACGATTTGACATATGTCACCAAAACAAAATGGCCGCCACGGACCGCCAAAATCCACCCGCGCCAATTGAAAAACCCTTTAGTATACATAGTCAGACCCCCAGGCCGTTTTTTTGTGTGGCTGTGTAATTTATCAATAAAAAAATGTGAACTTACATTATTTTGATAAAATCCGTCACTATCAAACTGATTACTTTCAATCACAAAATCAGTTGGGCAGTTCTTTAACTTTTAAGTCATCTGGAGAAGGCGATGGTGGCCTCTCTCCTCCGCCAGTGATACGTATAGCCCGTTTATGTTCCAAAACATTATTCTTGGCTAATAGTTTTGTCCTCCTCCAGAAACCTTTTTTCCAGTTAGTTCCTCTAGCCTAAATAAACTATAAAATTAATATCATATCGAAATATAGGTAAACCTATAGCTGAGAGCTGTCCAAACCAAAGTAAAAACATTAAACACATTCAAGCATTGAACTCACTTGTTGCATATTTTTTGCCATTCCATATTCTTTTTTTTTATTTGTGTTCGTGTCGGTTTGTTTATTTTCTATAATCTTTGCACGTTCTATTTTCAAAAATAAATCCAGAAACAGGGAAACATTGTTTAATTCAAAATCCAACAAATGACTTACCGGCGGCCGAGCAGCGTGGTAATTTTGATATAGTGATCATAAGCATCATAATTACCTTTTCTTCCTGTGCAAAATTTTCTCCGCGTTGGCGACAATTCTTGTCTTTTCTCTTCATTTTAATTGATAACTCCACGAGAAAATAAAAATACAACGATAGTATATAAACAATACTGACAGACAATGTGCGACATTGACAGCGACCAATAGTTGTTGTTGCGTTTTACAATATTTCTCTTTAGTTTTCCATGTTCTGACTTAGATAAGAATTATGTCCGTGAATTTAAGTCAAAAATGATAATTTTAGATTAAATATTTTTATTTAAAAAATAATTAACTAATGTGTTTATAAAGATATCCGTTTACGTCTAAAATTTATTATAAGTTTGTATACAACGTGCATATGTTTTTTGCGTATTGAACGTGTATGAACGAATGAAAGCTAGTTGAACGAATGTTTCTTGGAGTGACAAATTTAAACTAGTGTTACGTGGACAATGTTTAAAAATGAATTTGTAATAGAGAAAGTTAGACATCATTTTAAATAGGGTTTATATTCTTAAACACTGTTTAGATAAACACTTGGTAAAACACTGTTTAACATCTCTTTTGTAATTACACTGAATATATTGATCTAACTTTATTACTGGAATATCTCCAGTAGTCAACGAAAGAAGATCGTTGTACTTTTCTGCTTCAATTTTAGGTCTTGTTTGACGTAGAGGCAGAATTTGTTCACAGAAAATACTTGATAGATTTCTTCCTTAGCATTGTTTCAGCATGACTTGTATTGAATAATAAGTCGGTGGACTGCTTTATAACACTCTAGAGTTTATCAATTTCTGTCCAATTTTTTGAATGGCTGCTTCTCTCATAGCAATGGTGTCATAGTACAATTTTTTTTGGGTATGCGTCTGGGTGCTATGTTCAATAAAGTTTCACAAAATGTAATTGACCCATAAATAAATTTAAATATGAGTAAAGGCTATTATAAAGTTGATGATTATTTTAAGGATCGCAATGCATGGAATTAATAGCCTTTGCTTTGTTCTATAACGACTAATTATACAGGGTTAAAGGAAAAGTGGACCTAGATCCTTAAGGAGATTATGGTATACATCATTACAAACAAATTTGACTACAGCCTTTTCCAAAAGTATTAGGCACCCCAATTTTTGCCTTAAAATAGTGAAGAAAAACAATCTCTTAGTTCTAAATATATTTATTACTGTTTAATTATTGAAAAAGGAATATAAAAAAACTTAAAATCCAAAAACTTAAGTGGACCAACTACCCTTGGATTTTATCACAGCACTGATTCTGTCGGGCGTACTGCGAAAAAGATCAATACATTCATGCCAGACTCGCGTACTAATTTTCTATCTTCGCGCTTCATAGTTATTCGTTTTCTACTGTCCTGGGTCTATTAAAGTAAGAACCAGTCTGGGCAAATCGTTTTATTGCAGATTGCATCGCGAAACGCGAACATTTCACCAACTTGGCGATTTCCTTTTGCGACTTCCCTTCTTCATGGAGCAGTTGTATTTTTATACGATTTTCTAAAGAAATTTCACTTCTTTTCGGCATTTGTGGGTAAATTAGGCGTCAATATGATTGCGTAAATGGAAATTGCAGCTTGTTCACTTGACAGAGTTCCAAACACAAGTGACTAAACTTTGACTGAGTTAACCGCAAAAATATCAAATCCTTTGTTCTCGGTCGCCAAGTGTTTTATAACCTTTACAAATAGCCGCTTGCTGTTCTAAGAAATTATTTGCGACCCCGGCGCGTCATCTAAGATAAGCACTTATTCATTGATCGATTAGTAAACAAGCTTTGAGCATTTTTTTTGGGTGCCTAATGCTTTTGGCCAAGGCTGTATGAAACACCCTATCCAAACCTAACCTTTTACAAGTTATAGGATTTTTTTTTAAATGGCGGTCCTCAATATTTGTTTTTCTCATTTTCGACGCCTATTTATTAATTTATTTCGTTTATTTTATGAAGTAAATAAGTTATTTTATAGTTGTCATCCATAAAACCCTATGTAACTGAATATGGGTCAGAGTATAGGTTTTATTGGTAAAAAAATAAATTCACTAAACCAAAATATTTTTTTCTTTGTGTAACCGTTTCAAAAAATAATATGGAATTTATTTTCAGCTATTCAACGAGGTATAATAGGAAAGGATACCTATTATAAAAATTGTTTAACTTAAATTTAAAATCCATAGTGGAAGCTTAAAATAAAACAACAAAAATTAGGTATGTAAATTATCATCGGTCATTTATTATTTTTACAAAGTACTATTTTATTATTCATGTTCTACATGGCCCGTCTATTTCGCACACATATTCTCAGTCTTCTTCGTAGTCCACTCTTAACTACACCAGTAGTTAACTGCCTTCTCATCTGATCTGCCGCATCAATTATTTTCTGTCGTAAAACATCAATAGATGTAATCGGATTAGGATCAGTGTATACGAGACTTTTCATATGGCCCCACACATAAAAATCCATAGGCGATAGGTCTGGACTTCTTGCCGGCCATGGTTTCGAAACACCTCTTTCTATTCACTTATTGGGACAATTTGTATCCAGCCATTTCCTAACGCTTTCGCGGTAATGTGCGGGGCAGCCGTCATGCTGGAACAACATGTCTCGTATTACATTAAGAGGTAGGTATATCTTCAAGTAGGACGGGTAAATCCTGCCTTAAAAACTCTTCATCTCCGTTTAACTTATCAGGAAGAAAGTAAGGTCCAATCAAATAGTTGAATATTATTCCCATCCACACATTTAAACTGAAGCGTCCTTGTGTGCCTTTTACCAGCTTCTTATTGGGCTTTTTTCTGGATTTTGGGGCCCAGTAATGGGCATTATAATAATTAGTGATGCCGTCTTTATCAAATTTAGACTCATCTGTCTACAAGATTCGTTTAAAAAAATCTTGGGTCTTCTAAATCGGCATTCAGCATAAACCTGCAGGAATCTAACTTCTTCAATGGATCTCCTTCTTCGATAACTTGTACTGGCGTGTAATGGTATGTGTATAGCCCGCAGTATGGACAGTAGACCATACTTTCCACTGGCAACAATATTAGTTGAAATGGTCGGGTCTGGTCCAAAACGTCGCACTATTTGACACGAGGTCTGTCCAGATCAATTCGTCGCCTTGAAACAGAGCCAGTCTCTAAGCCGTAGATTAAGACCGTCAAACACACTGACATCTGGTATGCGGCGGCCGAGATTGCGTCTTATGTATTCACCACGAGCTCAAGCGGTATTATTGTGATAATATTTATTATTTTGGTAATGACATGATTTATGTCAATGTCATTACATATGATAAAGAGCTGGTAAGTGTTTTCGCTTGTTCTTCTTGTCAGCTAAAAGATGTCCTGAACAAGGAGTAAACTAAACTAAAAAAAAAACTATTATAATTGATTTATGGGTTTGATAAGCTACTTAGTTGCGAATGTGTACTTGTGACAGATCACGTAGACCATTTCTAAATAAGGGCATTAATTGGGTGCGTACATAACACGTCTCTCCTTAAAACTAAACAAGAGGTTATGAATATAAGCAATTATTTATTATAGAAATTAAAAGTCATACTAAAACAAAAGTAAAATTTTAAAATATTATCTAAAATGGTAATATACATTTATATGAAATTACGATGAGTATGATAATTAAGATTACGGTTAAATAATTAAGACTAGTAAAATCTAATAAAACGTAACTTGACAAAACATATGTTATTTTGTTTGCCTATGCAACTAGAACGAAGAAAGACATTAAATATATTTTTAAAAGCTGGGAGTATCGAGTAATTGTGTAATATATATGTTTTTGAAGTTATGTCGAATTAATTAAACTGTAGCATTTTGAGTTAGACGTATTACAGTTGAAACATGTAAAGCACACGTCAGATAATGCTCATCGTGGTCCTAGAAGTGCATACTTTCACATAATACCTTAAAACTTGCTCCATATCTGATAGATTATTTTTATTCACTGAAAGAAATAAAAACATTTCTTGTGAACCAATCTTACACTATAATATATATAAAGTAGAAGTGAAAATACTAATTTAAAAAGGGTATAGCAAAACAACGTGTTGATTTTTCTTTTCTTTATTACTACTCTCTAATGAATACCTCATCAAGGAATGCTGCAGGAGCAGCTACATTCTTTTCGTGTCTGGCCCATCCAATATACCAAACTATGGTCATTATATGAACACAGCATCCCAGTGTGCATCGACCAACAAGACAATTACAGCAGTATTCTCTTATGCCATCTAACCCGGATGTGTCATTATTAATTAAAATGT